TCGTGCAGGGCTCCTCCGCCTTTCCTCCCAGGCCGGCCTGAAGTGCGCCCACCGAGGTCCCTGGTGCTGGGCCTCTTGCGCGGTCTCGGTGCCCGGCGCGGTGCCAGCACAAGGCAGGTGCTCCTTGAGCCGGTCGCAGCTGTCCCGGACTCCTGGCAGCATCAGAACAGAAACGATGAAGAAACTGTCCAGACAAAAGCCACCGCCGTGGCCACGGCAGCTTTAGCCGCGATGGCAAGTGTGCGGCCTGACCTTAAAAGGACACGCCATCCCGCCTCAGAAGGAAGCGTGCTGCGCGCAGGTGGGCCTGGGGAACAGGCGGCTACGAGAGGCCGCAGCGTGTGGTCCCATTTACAGGAGGCCGGTGGAGGTTGCCGGGGGCGGGCCTGACTGGCTGCTCACGTGCAGGCTTCTTTCTTGAGGTGGTGAACTTGGCCTGGAGTGAGACAGTTTTGGTGACTGCACGGCTTGTTAATATACTAACACCATCGAGTTGTGGCTTTTTAAAGGGAGAATTTCATGACACGTGTGTTACATCTCAATATGGCAATTATTTCACAGAGGAAAAGAAGAGGGTTGAATCCCTGAACTCCCAGGCCTCTGTGCCCAGAGGAGTCTGTGCACCTACTAACCTGAGCGGCCTATCTCTGCAGTGCCCCCTTCCCGGCTACATAGCCGGCCTCTCCTTCTGCTCACCTGACCCTTGCTGTCAGCCCAAAACCATGTTGCTGAGGACGCCACCTCAACCCCACAGATGTTCCCTATCTCACGCCTCCTGCTTCACTGAGAACACTGGACCCTCAAGCTTCCACAGACTATCACATAGCATAGCTGCCAGGCAGGCACCCAGCCCCAGGCTTGTGGCTTGCTCCGAGGCAGCAATCCAGCAGTTCCCTCTGTCTCCCAAAGCATGATTTTGTTCTGTCTACTGGATCATTCTCATTCGCATATGAGAGTACTATTCCTCCCATCCTAACAAATCCCTTCTGTTTATCTGACTACCCTCACCCACCTGTTGCATTTTTTGCTCCCCTTGGCAGCAGAATTCCTAGAAAACTCTGTCCACTCACCCTGTGCCTCCTTTTCTTCCCCACTAAGCCTGTGTACAATGAAGAAACCTGTCTCTAGTGGTGTTAAAAACACAAATCCAGCCCCCTCTATTATGCTGCCTGGGGGTGCCCTGTCAGCCCTCAAGCACTACAGGACAGTGCCTGTGCTGCCCACCCACTGCTCTCCATGTCCACTGATGGACACACATCCTTTTGTTCACTTGGGCCAGTACCCTACCTCACGTGGACTTCTTCCTCCCATCCCACGTCCGTTCAGTTTGCAATTCTGAACAGCCCTGTCTTCAGAATATATTCAGATATGAGCACATCCCAGCCACCCCCCTCGAGGGGCAGGTCACAGCAGTTACCTCATATTTCCACTTCTGCCCTTGTATCCCTAGAATCCAACCATGCAGCAACCAGAGTGACCCTTGAAAGGCTCCCCTGCCGGGCTCGGTGGCTCAGCCTGTAATCCTGCGCCTTTGGGAGGCTGAGGTGAGT